TGGAAATGTTATCATTCAAGGGACACTTTCCATGAAAAAAACTTCCCTGATCATACAGAGAGAATTCAGTTGTACACTGCTTTATTTATATTAGAAAAATAACACTTATTATCATACATATCTCTTACACCTCTCTCTCTAGAAAGGCAGAGATCAGATCCTCTATTTTCTCTTTGAGCTTTCCTACATAATTATTTATCTTGTAAATTAAAATAGCAAAATTAATAAAATGACACTTTCTTTCCCATAACCTACATATCCTTAATGCATCCCTGACAAGGGCACTAAAAAATTTCACCAGCCCACAAAGCACTGTTTTTTCAAACATCTCAAGAAGAGAAAAACACATGCTACAACTATAGTTATTATGACATTTGAGCATTTTCAGAGGATTAGGACTCTTAGCATAGCAAACCATTTTTATTATTAAAATTAAATCTATAATGGTAATCCCAAAAACAAATATGCTAAAATGCCTTTATTTAGCTCCACTTAAATAATCCCAAGAAAGTCACAAAGTTTACTAAAAAAAAAAAAAAAACACTGACACTTTCAAAGAAATAAGGCTATCTACCGGATTAGTTTGTTAGTGCCTTAATTGGTAATCATATTCAGGCATTTTGCCAAAATATGAAGGCAACATGGCTTTTACTAAGTCATTTCCAGTGAATATGGAAAGACAAATAAAGAAAAAGAGCAGTATAGTTAATGTCTTTTTATAAAAGTACTATCAAATACATTTTCAAGAAATCCTATATAATAAAAGGCTAAAATGCAAATAGACCAAATGGCAGAATAACCGGAACCACAGAATGTGCACTGACCACCAGGGGTTGTGCATGGAGCATGGTGGGCGTAGGCCGTGACAGGATGGTGGAGCAGGTGAGAGGGGATGCCAGACCAAGGTGGGGTGCCGGTTGCTGTCATCAGGGCAAGCCTCTGGCAGTTACTGAAAATTCTTTGCTCTGGCACACACTGTGGTCCCGCCCAGTGCTCACATCTGCTATTGGCACTGGCCCTACAGCCACTACTGACGCTGAAGCCACCACTCACACCCATTGCCATTGCTCAGCACCATCAGTGGCTACAAGCGGCAGCTGCCGACCCCAATTACTCCTTAAGGCTTCTCCACCTCTCCTGGCTCCTGAAAGAAGATCAGGGCTATCAACCACCTCTTGCACCCGCAGCCTGTGCCAAAGCTGTTACTGGCACCCACTGCCAGTGCCCAGCACTGGTCTAAATCACTCAGCAACATCAGTGAGTGCGAGTGGTGACTGCTGGCCCTGATCACCAATGAGGTCTTCTTCACCTCCCTCCCCCAACCCCCCCACTTCTGAGGGAAGATCAGGGCAGCAGCAGACACATCAACTGCTGGCACTGGCCCCAATCACCCTGCACCTTCAGAGGATGCAAATGGGGCCGACGCCATCAGTGTGTGGGAACAGTGGCGGGAGTGGGGCTGCTGGCAGACAAAGAACCAGAAGCCATGGCAGGAGGAGCCAGGCAGCAGTGCCCATCCCTGTGCCTACTGCAGCCTTGCAGCCCATAGGTCCTCTCAAGGTGCACAAATTTGTGCACTGGGCCCCTAGTAGCATATAAAAATCTTATATGTTATTTTAGTGAAAACCATTAGTAGGTATCATTTTTTGCCAATTAGTTTTTTCTGGCTAGGCTATGTGGCAGGAACCACAGTGGAACCTGAACTCACTTGACTCAGACACTAGACCAGATGTCTAATATGGCATCTTTTTTGCATTCTAAAGAAATGCAAAAAATGGAAAATGCTTTTCTTACTAAACTAAATAACAGACCCAATGGGTATCCTTATCAACTTAACACAGAACTGCTATCCAATAACTCAACTTCTAGTAACTCAGTATGAGAAAGTCATATAAAGAAATTCAGCATAGCACTGTTTATAATAGTTAAAAATAGGAAAAATAGTTTAAATGCTAAGCAACAGGGAATCTATACTATTAAAAGGGTAATATGCTAATTAGACCGGGTCAACCAGACATCTTCTGGACAAAGCCATGATGGGGGTTGGGAGTGAGGGCCCAAGTCAGAGGTGTTAGGGGCAATCAGACTGGCAGGGGAGCAAGCAGTTAGGGGGCAATCAGACAGGCAAGGGAGGGCAGCTGGAGGCAATCATGTCAGCAGGGAAGTGGTTGGGGGGCAATTAGGCTGGCAGGCAGAAGCAGAGGTGTTTAGGGGTGACCAGGCAATCAGGCAGGCAGGGGTGATTAGGGGTGATCAGGCAGGAAGAGCAGATAGAAGCCAGAGGTCCCATATTTTGAGAGGGATGTCCAAGGGGTCCCAGATTGGAGAGAGTGTAGGCCGGGTTGAGGGACAACCCTCCCTCCCCCGTTCATGAATTTCATACACCATGCCTCTAGTCTTTTATATAAAACAAAGTGTATATACACTATTGAGCAATGAAAATTTTGGCACAAATCTCTATTTACATGTAAAAACGCCATAGCATACTGCTGCAAAAAAGCAGGTTATAATCCACTAGATGCCCGGTGCATGAATTCGTGCACGGGTGGAATCGTTCTGGCTGGCCCCAATTGGGGCCTACTGGGGATGGGACTGAGGTGATAGGCCACCAGCCTGCCCTCTATCAAACTCCCATTCAAGGGGACAATTTGCATATTACCCTTTTATTATATAGGATGTATTCACCTACAATATTCCTAAGTGACAGGATTTGGAGCATGTGCCAGTTAGCAATTTATTGTCTCTCAGCTTCAAATTCATATCATATTGCCTGCTCTGCAAAAATAAAGCTGCTCCTTTAAATGTTTTTCCTTTGCCAGCTGACACAAGAGTTATACTTTATCAGTACAGGTGCTAGAGGCTATTTCCAACAACACCCCAACCTTCAGATGGTTTTGTAACACAAGATGAGGTATTGCCTCTGCACAGAAGAAACCCCAGCACACGAATCAGTAAGTTTTGAGCAATTTCCACTGCAAGCAAGACAGCACAGCCACTTCTCTGTCATCCAGGGAACCATGGCCACACCTTCTCCATCATGGTCTAAATCTCAGCCCCAAAGAATAATCTTCCTGAACTCTCTCTCAGACCTAGGGGTTGTATCGGGTCTAGTAATAGTTAATGTCGTTTTTTAACATTCGTTTAAAATCTTGCTTGGCGTTGACTTGTATTGACATAACCTTCAAACACGTGGTATCTACAGAACGTGTGAAGTGCAATTAACAAGTTTTGCTTGAAAAAGTTTGTGTTTGGTTTGGTTTTTGTTGCAAAACTAGGGCTAAGAAGATGGCGGATGTAGAGCATATTCGGCACTGCATGCTTTACGAGTTCCAATTAGGAAGAAAAGCAAGTGAGGCTGCAAAAAACATCTGTAGTGCTCTTGGTCAAGATGCAGTTAGCGCCAGAAAATGCCAGCGTTGGTTTGAGAAATTTCGCGAGGGAAATTTTTCGTTAGATGACAAGAGTGGTCGAGGCCGTGTGTCCAATTTTGATCAAGAAGGTCTTCAAGCTCTTTTGGTGCAAAATCCTCAAATTACCCAACAAGAGCTTGCGACAACTTTAAATTGTTCACAAAAAACAATTTCCAATCAATTGCCTGCACTTGGCAAAGTCCAAAAGTTTGGAAAATGGGTTTCTCATGAGTTGACCGACAACAACCGTAATCAAAGAGTCACAATTTGCAGTTTCCTCCTCTCTCGTCAAAACCGTTTGCCGTTTTTTAGAGCAAATTGTTACCGGAGATGAAAAATGGGAGCTGTATGTTAATTTGAAAAGGTGGCCTCAATGGTTGGACAAAAATGAGGCTCCGCAGCCCACGCCAAAACCTGACTTGCATGCGAAAAAAGTGATGTTGTGTGTTTGGTGGAATTTTAAAGGAATTCTTCATTATGAACTTTTACCATCTAACCAAACCATTACAGGTGCAGTGTATAGTGCCCAATTGGAAAGGTTAGCTCAAGCTTTAAGAGAAAAAGAACCCGCGCTGATTAATCGGAAGGGCGTAATTCTTCACCACGATAACGCACGACCGCATACTGCAAGAATCACTGCTGAAAAACTGCGCCAGTTGGAATGGGAAGTTCTCCCTCAACCTGCATATTCTCCTGATATTGCCCCTTCCGATTACCATTTGTTTCGTTCTTTGCAAAACTTTCTTCTTGGAAAAAAATTTAATAATGAAGAATGCCTCAAAAATGCATTGACCAAATTTTTTGCATCAAAATCACAAGAATTTTACAACAGAGGGATTAAAATGCTTCCTGAGCGTTGGGCACAAGTAGTAGAAAACAACGGCAACTATATTGTTGATTAAATTTTGTTGTATTGTTTAAATAAATTCGATTTAAAAGGTATTAGAAAACAACATTAATTATTACTAGACCTAATAGTTGCTCCTTTTATCTGCCATTCTTATATTTGTTAAAGTTCTCTTCAGCTCTTTCTAGCCAACCCCTTGTTACTCCAATTTTCTGTTAGAGTTAATAATTTTTTTATATTAAAGAATATTTAATACTTCTTAGTGTTTGAAATTTCTGTGTTATTTCCCCAGAATTGACCCTGACTGAAATAGGGTGAGGTTCCTACCTTTTTATTTATCAATGTTGTCTAAATTTATAAAAAAGTATTTTTTGTTATAATCAAAAAGGAAAGTTAATTTTATTTTGGAAAAATTCAATGCAAAATTAATATTGCTTTTAGTTTTCTATCTTAATAGGATAGAAATATATTTGTGAGATTAAAATGATTGAATTTTGAAGAACATTTGTTTTTGTAAGAATGTATTCAGTTTTCCTTTTTTAATACCAATTTCTTCTCAATATTAGCTAAAATTGTGTTTTTAAACATCAGAAATTATTTAGACAGCTATTTTTCCTTTTGTTTATGCCATATGTTGCCCTTTACAAATAGGTCATTAATCATTATGTATCCTCAAGTGATAGGTTCTAGTTCCTCAAATATATAGTCTTCCTCTTCCCACTTATTATTTCAGTCCCTCTTACCATGTTCAAGGATTATCAGTTGGGCCCCAGCTTGTGCATTTCCAACATCATTCTCAGCAATGCATTGATAGAATCCTTCGTCTGACTTCACCAGACCCAAAACTTGCAGATTATGTTCCTTCTGAAGAAGAAAAACATATACAATTTTATGATTCAATTGATAAACAGTCCAAAAAAAAAAAGTAAAATTGCCTGATTTAGGTACTGAAAATTATCCACTGATGCACATGTTAACTCAATTTTATTGACAAGGTACTAACTTAAACTGATTAAAACAGGAAACACTGTCATTAACAATTAAGAACTTAATATTCATGCAAAGTTGTACTCACAATGTTTGCAAACTTACATCTTTGCTTGGAAAAATATGCAATACCATGTGACCATAGTAAAAATCTAAATTTATGACTCCAAGGCATTTTTTAAATATTATTAATATCATTAGTTCTAATAGATTAGACTATACTCAGTTAAATCAAGATGCATATACATGAAGCTTTCCTTAAACTATAAAGAAAAGTACCCACACTTACATGGATATCAACTACTGTTACTGTTATTGATAGTAAAAAATGCTACTTTAACCATAAACTTTGCTTTTTGGTTACATTTAAATATTATGAATTATTTATGACAGTAAGTCTTTAACAACCATAATTACTTCTGATTATTTCTATGAATGTAATGTATTTAAAGATATGTCATCAATCTTTGCTACTAAAACTTAGAAAATTTGATTACTAGGATGTTAGATAATAATAATAGACAATCTTTATTAAAAACTAGAGGCCAGGTGCACGAAATTCCTCAGCCCAGCCTGCACCCTCTCCAATCTGGGACCCCTTGAGGGATGTCAGACCCACCAGGATTAGGCCTAAATGGGCGGTTGGACATCCCTCTAACAATCCAGGACTGCTGGCTCCCAACCGCTCACCTGCTCTCTGCCTGATTGCCTCTAACCACTTCTACCTGCTAGCCTGATCAACCCCTAATCACTCCACTGCCAGCCTGCTATCCCTCTAACTTCCCTCCCCTGCTGGCCTGGACACTCTAACTGCCCTTCCCTACCAGTCTGGTCACCCCCAATTATCCTTCTCTGCAGGCCTGGTGGCCCCCAACTGTTCTTCCCTGCTGGCCTGGTCACCACTAACTGCCCTCCCCTGCAGACCTGGTACACCCAACTGTCTTCCCTTGAAGGCCTGATCCCCTGCAACTGTCCTCCCCTGCAGGTCTGAGTGCCCCTCCCCAACTGTCCTCCCCTGCTGGCCTGGGTCCCCCAAACTGCCCTCCCTGCAGGCCTGATCACCCACAACTGTCCTCCCCTGCAGGCCTGATCACCCACAATTGCCTTCCCCTGCAGGCCTGAGTCCCCTTCAACTGCCCTCTTTTGCTAGCCTGGTCATCTCCAACTGCCCACAACTGCCCTCCCCTGCAGGCCATCTTGTGGCAGCCTTCTTGTGTCCACATGGGGGCGACCATCTTGTGTCTTGTTGTGATGGTCAATTTGCATATTACTCTTTTATTAGATAGGATGTATTTAATAAAAAGTAAAAAAAAGTAATAGCTGATATTCTTAAATACATTTAACACTAATTATTTACTTTTGCATTTACTTTCTAAAAGAATCTTCACATATATTGTCACAATAACTGTCCAACACTGGATCATACTTATTTTGAAGGGCCTGAGCATCAGCATATGAAAGACAGATTTCTGCTCCTTGAGAGATATGAAGACAATTGGTGCATGTGCATGCACACATGTGCTTGCACACACGCATAAGCATACACATAATCATTACCCAGAAAATGGTGGCAACTGTGTTAAACAGTGCTAAAATGTTTAGCAGGAATACTACACCTAGTACTATTTGCTATGTGATCATATATAAGCTACCAAAATATTTCTGGGCTCAGCTTTCCCATCATCCAATAAAGAGATTATATTCTGTGTTTAATTTTTGTTGACATTATATAAACTGGTGTATATAAGATATCAAGTCTCTTAATAATTACAAAGACATTTAAAGGTTTCAGAGTACTTCTTTTAAAAAATACTTACTACAATCTTAAAGTAATCACTTGGGATAACCATATCCCCATTCTTGACCCACTTCACAGTTGGAGTTGGTTTCCCAGTCACTTCACATTCAAATACAATATCCATAGATTCATGAGCATATATATTAGTAGGTTGCTTCAGGAATTCAGGTTGGGCTTTAAAATAGAAAGAAAATGAAGATATTAATGAAAATAAAATTAGCTATTCATATTTCAAGCAGTTTTTTTTAATCCCAGAATTCATAGGTGTTTTACTTATTTGAAGTTTTCATATATTTTTATAAAAATCTAAATATATTTTAAAAATATATATCAGGAACACAGTATCTTTAAAAATTGACATTCTGGTGGAACTAGAAGAATAATTTTAAAGATAATTTCTGAATTTCCTTGTTGAGAAATATATAATAAGTTGATTATATTTGAAGAAATTGATAATATGAATTTTCTAAACTAAAAATAAATATTAAAGGCTATTTCCCTAAGATTTATACCATTTTTTGGTAGGGCCATAATTAAAATTCAAAAAGAATTGAGAAAACTGACATTATTTTTCTTTTCAGTCACTTGTGTATCTCCCCCCCCCCCCAAAAAAAAAAGTAATATAAATTTGACATAGAGCTTAAAACAGTTCATTTACACAACATACTCCTAACATGAAGAAAGGATTCTTAAGGATGGGAGGAAGAGTGATAGGATCTTTGGGGAAAGTTAAGTGTATTAGAAAGAGCCTATATATTGTAGTAACTCTCTAACTCCATTTCATCTTACCCCAAAGTTATAATCACACACTTACAAATAACATTCATTAAGATTTTGAGCCAGAAGGGTAAAATAGATATTCTAATCCAGTGGCTCTCAACCTTTCTAATGCCGAGACCCTATTCATTGCTACTTCATAACTGTAATTTTGCTATCGTTTTGAATTGTAATGTAAATATCTGTGTTTTCCAATGGTCTTAGGCAACCCTGCTAGCAGTTCTCAACATGTTTTCCGATGATCTTAGGTGACCCTGCTAGTGGTTCTCAACCTGTGGGAATCATAAAATTATTTTCGTTGGTCTTAAGACCATTTACCCAATGGTCTTAGGCTCTACAGCAATGCTTCTTAACCAGAGGGTCACGACCCACAAATTGAGAACCGCTGCTGTAGAGCTTAAGACCATCAGAAAACACAAATATTTACATTATGATTCATAACAGTAGCAAATTTACAGTTATGAAGTAGCAACAAAAATAATTTTATGATTGGTGGTCACCAAAACATAAGGAACTGTATTAAAGGATCTCAGCATTAGAAAGGTTGAGAATCACTGAATTCTAATCCAACTTCCCATCTAATGCTATAATTTCCCACACAACATCTTTGAAAGGGGTATCTTACTAATCTCTGAAAGTTTCAAATGAAAAGGAACTCCCTATATCACAAAGGAGCAAACTCCACTGTAGGCAGTTTCTATTTTTTTTTTTTTTTTAGAAAAACACCAGCAGTTGGTTTATTTTTAACATTTGAGATAAAATGTGCTCAGCCTGCTATAATTTTTGATTGGTATTGTGTTGAATTTGTGGCAACTTGACATTGTAAAAATATGAAGTCTTTTTCCCATGCATATTGTTTATCTCCCCATTTATTTAGATCTTTGGTTTCATTTCTCTCATCAATGTTTTATATATTTCAATATATAAATCTTGTTCATATTATGCCTAAATACTTTAATTTTGGTGCTACTATAAATGGGACTTCAAAATTTTTTTAGTTTCAAATTTATCACTAGTATGTAGAGGTGGAAGTGATTTATGTATACTGACCTTTCATCCCATGGTGATACTGAACTCACCTATTAGCTCTAGTAACTTTCTATAGACAACTTTAATATCTATATACATACAAAATATATTTACAGATAACTAGTCTAGTAATAATTAATGTCGTTTTTAAACATTCGTTTAAATCTTGCTTGGCGTTGAGTTGTATTGACATAACCTTCAAACACGTGGTATCTACAGAACATGTGAAGTGCAATTAACAAGTTTTGCTTGAAAAAGTTTGTGTTTGGTTTGGTTTTTGTTGCAAAACTAGGGCTAAGAAGATGGCGGATGTAGAGCATATTCGGCACTGCATGCTTTACGAGTTCCAATTAGGAAGAAAAGCAAGTGAGGCTGCAAAAAACATCTGTAGTGCTCTTGGTCAAGATGCAGTTAGCGCCAGAAAATGCCAGCGTTGGTTTGAGAAATTTCGCGAGGGAAATTTTTCGTTAGATGACAAGAGTGGTCGAGGCCGTGTGTCCAATTTTGATCAAGAAGCTCTTCAAGCTCTTTTGGTGCAAAATCCTCAAATTACCCAACAAGAGCTTGCGACAATTTTAAATTGTTCACAAAAAACAATTTCCAATCAATTGCGTGCACTTGGCAAAGTCCAAAAGTTTGGAAAATGGGTTCCTCATGAGTTGACCGACAACAACCATAATCAAAGAGTCACAATTTGCAGTTCGCTCCTCTCTCGTCAAAACCGTTTGCCATTTTTTAGAGCAAATTGTTACCGGAGATGAAAAATGGGTGCTGTATGTTAATTTGAAAAGGCGGCCTCAATGGTTGGACAAAAATGAGGCTCCGCAGCCCACGCCAAAACCTGACTTGCATGCGAAAAAAGTGATGTTGTGTGTTTGGTGGAATTTTAAAGGAATTCTTCATTATGAACTTTTACCATCTAACCAAACCATTACAGGTGCAGTGTATAGTGCCCAATTGGAAAGGTTAGCTCAAGCTTTAAGAGAAAAAGAACCCGCGCTGATTAATCGGAAGGGCGTAATTCTTCACCACGATAACGCACGACCGCATACTGCAAGAATCACTGCTGAAAAACTGCGCCAGTTGGAATGGGAAGTTCTCCCTCAACCTGCATATTCTCCTGATATTGCCCCTTCCGATTACCATTTGTTTCGTTCTTTGCAAAACTTTCTTCTTGGAAAAAAATTTAATAATGAAGAATGCCTCAAAAATGCATTGACCGAATTTTTTGCATCAAAATCACAAGAATTTTACAACAGAGGGATTAAAATGCTTCCTGAGCGTTGGGCACAAGTAGTAGAAAACAACGGCAACTATATTGTTGATTAAATTTTGTTGTATTATTTAAATAAATTCGATTTTAAAAAAGTATTAGAAAACGACATTAATTATTACTAGACCTAATATATGTTATCTGTAAAAAGAGGCAGTTTTATTTCCTCATTTTCAATCTGCTTTCCTCCTTTTTCATTATACTAACTAGAGTGGGGCCGATCCTCAGAAAAAGTCCAGATTAGCCTTCTAATTTGTATAAATGAAGAGTAAGAGTATAGAGAACAAGTATTAGCCCAGGTAAGCAGGTTAAGCCAAGAAGTGAAAGAACATTTGATCTTAAGAAGCAATAAGCGAGAAAAAGAAAAAATGGTAGCTGAATAGGCAGACCTTTCTTATTATACCTCCTCCCAGAGCCAGACAGGAAATAAAACTAAAGTGGGAAACATACAACTGAGATACAACTGAGAAGGAGACTTACATGAAGGAATGACAGAAAACACCTGGAGACCAGTTGGAAGGGTGAGATCTCAAGAGGAGCTGATCCAGCTCCCAGAGATGGCTGGCCTAGAGTGAGGCAGGAGCTCCCAACTACAGGAAGGTCTGAGGCCTGAACCCAGGCTGGGCTCCACAGCCTAGAGCACCAGAGCTGAGACCAATGACACATGTAACAACCAGCCATGAAAAGTGGCAGGGCTGCTGGTCATAGCAGAGTATGGAGCCTGTAGAGGTAGACCACAGCCAGTCAGAGAGAAGGCCGCAGTTTTGTTTTGTTTTGTTGTGGTTGTGTTTGTGGTTTTTTTGTTTGTTTATTTTTAACGCAGAGCACAAGAGATTTCAATTGTAGCTATTCAACTAAGGCTTCGATGTACATATATACACCCAATACAGGAGCACCCAAATATATGAAAAAACTCCTTGAAGATTTTAAGGGAGATTGAGAGCAACAAAATCATACTAGGGAACTTTAACATCCCACTGACATCATTGGACAAATCTTCCAGACACAAAATTAACAAGGAAATAGCGATCCTAAACAACACCCTAGACCAGATGGAATTAATTGACATTTTCAGAACATTTCACCTCAAAGCCATAGAATATACATTCTTCTCAAGTGCACACAGTCATTCTCAAAGAATAACCACATGCTAGGACACAAGCTAAATCTCTATATAAGTTCAAGAAGATTGAAAACATAATAATTATCTTTTTGGATCACAATGAAATTAGAAATCAACTACAATTAAAACACTCAAAAACATTCAAACACATGGAGACTAAATAGTACAACAAACAAGGAATGGGTTATCAAAGAGATCAAAGATAAAATAAAAAACCTTCTGGAAACAAATGAAAATGAACACACAACTACCCAAAATCTATGGGACACAGTGAACATAGTCCTGGGAAGGAAATTCATAGCACTATAAGTCTACCTTAAAAAAAAAAAAAAAAAGGAAAAATTAATACTAAACTATTTGACTCTACAACTTAAAAAGAACTAGAAAGAGAACAAAAAGAAAAGCCCAGAAAAACAACAAGAAAATAATAAAGATGATACTAAACCAATAACATAGAGACTAAAAATAAATACAAAAGATCATTAAAAGCAAGAGTAGTTTCTTTGAAAAGATAAATAAGATCAATAAACCTTTAGCTAAACTCATCAAGAAAAAAAGAGAGAGGACCCAAATAAATACAATCAGAAATAAAACAGGTTGAAGTAATAACTAATACCACATAAATACAAAGAATCAGAGAAAAATACTATGAACAAGTACATTTCAACAAGCTGGACAACCGGGACAAAATGGACATACATAGTCATAAAAAAAAAATACAATCTTTCAAACCTCAATCTGAAAACCTGAATATGCTGATAACTACTGATGAAATAGAAGCAATAATAATAATAAACTCACAGCAAACCCAGGGGAGGCATCCCTATGGCTTCACAGGGGAGTTTTACCAAACATTCAAAGAAGGACTAAACTATACTCAAATTATCCACAAAAAAAATCCATGAGGAAGGGACAACTCTCATAGCAATATGTTTGCTGATACATCTCCTACAGCAGAGAAAACTACGGACA